CGATAAATAAGTGGGCTAAAGACTTAAAGAGAAACTTCTCTGAAGAGGAAATAAGAATGGCCAATAGACACATGAAGAAATGCTCAACCTCTTTAGCCATAAAAGAAATGCAAATCAAAACAACATTGACATACCACCTCACCCCAGTTAGAATGGCTATAATCAAGAACTCTAATAACAACAGATGCTAGAGGGGATGTGGCCAGAAGGGAACCCTACTACATTGTTGGTGGGAGTGTAAACCTGTTCAACCACTTTGGAAAGTAGTATGGAGGTTCCTCAAAAGACTCCATATTGAATGATGCTCTTATTGCTAAAACTAACCATAAAGCTATGTGCCATGGCACACACCTGTAATTGTAGCTACTCAGAAGGCTGAAATCTGAAGACTGTAGTTCAAAGCCATCTAGGACATGAAAATCCATGAGGTTCTTATCTCCAGTTAACGAGCAGAAAACTGGAATTGGAGCTGTGGCTCAAAGTGGTAGAGTTCTTGTCTTGAGTGGAAAAAGCTCAGGGACAATGCCCAGGCCCTGAGTTCAATCCCCACAACTGAAAAAAAAAATGCAAAAGAAGTATGGTAGGCTGGGCTGGGAAGGTGTCTCAGTGGTAGAATGCTTGCTCACATGCATGAGGCCCTGGGTTGGATTCCTCAGCACCACATAAGCAGAAAAAGCCAGAAGTGGTGCTGTGGCTTAAGTGATAGAGTGCTAGCCTGGAGCTGAAGAGCTAAGGGACAGCACCCAGGTCCAGAGTTCAGGCCCCACGACTGACCAAAACACAAAACAAAAACAACAACAACCAAAAACCAAGTATGTAGGCTTCAGGAGAAACACATCTAGCAGAAGTATAGGGAGTCATTTGTCAATTATCCCTAGACACTTTGGTGCCAACCAATAAGCACCTAAGCATCCATGAAGACAGTCACTAAAGCCTCTCTGATTGCCACCATATAAGTGTCCCTGTAGCAAGTGGCGCTGTGGCTCTAGTGGTAGAGCGCTCATCTTGAGCTGAAGAGCTGAGGGATAGTACCCAAGCCCAGAGTTCAAGCCCCACGACCAACAAAAAAAAAAAAGTGTCCCTGTAGTTTAGTAACCCATCTTCAAGAGGAAGCAGTGTTGAAAAACCAAAGAAATGCTAGGCACTGTTGGCTCATGCCTATAATCCTGGCTACTCAGGAGGTTGAGATCTAAGGATCAAGTTTCAAAGTCAATCGAGTCCAAGAGATGCTTATCTCTAATAACCACCAAAAAAGCCAAAAGTAGAAGTGCAGCTCAAGTGGTAAAGCACCAGACTTGAAAGAAAAAGCTAAGGAAAGTGCAGACCTTGAGTTCAAGCCTCAGGATTGGAATGCATGCAAGCACATGCACACACACGCCTGTGCGCAAGAAAAGGGAAAGAGCTAGAGACGAAAGGATAGAAAGAGAAAATAAGAAAAAGAAAGAATAAAAGAAAGGAAGGAAAGAAAGAAAGAGGGAGTGAGGAAGGGAGGAAGGGAAGGAGGAAAAATAGCAGTCACAGAAATGTATTTCTAGGGGCTGGGAAGGTGGCTCAAGTGGTAGAACGCTAGCCTTGAGCTGAAGAGCTGAGGGACAGCGCCCAGGCCCAGAGTTCAGGACCCCCCCCCAAAAAAAAGAAAAAAAAAGAAATGTATTTCTACAGCTTAGATGCCCAGCTTGAGGAACATCTGCTACATCTTGAGCAGTAAGCCTCTTATTCCAGACAGGTATGAAGTGATTTCAAAATCAACTCCAAGATTTCTCTATTTCTAAATAATAATACACATTATTATATTTGCTTTTAAGTGATTGAGGACCTACTTCAGGTGCAAAGGTAGACAAGTGCGGCCATCTAGCAAGCATTGCTATTAGTGTCATATTATAGTATGCTGCCACCATACCCATGCTGCCACCTAATCTGTGATCTCAGACCAGCCCTTGAATCTCTGTATCTGCTACTGCTTATCCTGCAGGTAGCATGATAGGTTCAGAGGAGGTTGGGATTCAGGATACAGAAACCCTGGGCATCATTGTCAAGAACTGTCCAGGAAAGAACCAAGGCTGTCTCTGCAGTCAATGTATCATTGACCAGTGTCCTAATGATGGACTGTGGCGACTCTTCAGTGTGGGCACTCATCCAGGCATCATAGTGAGCCCTCCATACCAGCGAGCTATGACAATGTTACACTGTACTTTCAGTTACAAAACTAATATATGTGTAAAATTTATATACGATCATATACCTTCATTGTGTTGTTACAACTCTAGATTCATGGCAAATAACTACACTCTCAGATGTCTGGGTGATGTATTTCAGAAAACAAATATAGGTGGAACTAAAAGGCTAGACCACTAAGCTGGACCACTTTTCTGCTGATAAGAGGCCATTAGAAGTGGTAGGGGATACGACATGACAAACATATAACATTTACAACACCAAAGACTCTTAAGATGCAGAGAAGCCAAATACCTAGGAAACATCTTACCACTCACCATCAAGCCCTGTTCCACTGGCTCAAACCAAAGACTGGGCCAGAGCAAGATTTCCATTTAGAACATTAGACATAGTCAACATCCCTCCCATTCTTACCACAGACAGAAAGGGTAGACAGAAAGGGCTGGTAGGCTGCCCTACTGGACCAGCCCTGCTTCTCCACCTCCGGATGACCTTGGCTGGCTTTTTTTTTTCTTTTTTCCAAGTAATCCCCACCTAGAACCCTCCAAGCACCAAGCTCTCATTTGCCATGCTGTTGACATGTCCTGTCGCTTCCACCACAATGACACATCATAATAACACAACTTATTTCCATGAAGGAAATGTTGGCTAATTAAATTGCCCAAGTGGCTTCTTCCAAATGTCAGCTCTCGTAAACGGTGAAGAAACCAAAGCAGAATTCGGGTATATGTGTTGTCTGTTCCTTCATATCCACTTTCACTCATGAACAGGATCACCCCATTTATGGCCAAAAAGATCCTTCAGACACAAAAGACTCTTGTAATCCAATTAAATTCCTTCCAGCCTCACAATATCTCATCTCCAACTGAGAACTTGCTGGATCCCAGCCTTCCTATGGAGCTTCTTTTCGCTTAGAACGACTTAGCTCCAACACCCTGGGCAGAGTCTGCTTTCCTCAGCTATGCCCTAGGTTACTGTGGTGCCCCCTCTCCCCCAGACCACCCCTGCAGTTCTCTGGGGAGAGAACCAAGCCAGAGAGAGGGATGTTCCATGGCTAGTTGTTAGGGTTCCAGGGACCCATGGAATCTTCGGGCCTGCTGTGGGGCTGCAAATCACTCATGCATGTTGGGTGGCTACCTCGGACAAACTGTCGTACCTTTAACACCACCAAACTGCAGAGAGCCAGGGAGCCTCGTTGCCCTAAAAAAATAACATCGTTTGCGGAAAAGCAAGTGTGCCTAGGAGTTTTCTTGGGTATTGGGCAAGCCTAGGGAGGTAGGAATACTCTCTAAATCGAGGAAATAGAACAACGGGGAATCTCAATAAGGGGGACCCCGTCACACAGCTGGAAGACTGCAGGACTAGGTTCCAACTTGGGTTTCTGAGGGAGGCAAAGAGATACGTGGATTGGAATATGGAACACACACACTTACACTTCACACACACACACACACACACACACACACGCACACACGCTTCACACACAGGCGGGGGGGGGCGGGGGTGTCAAGCAAACAAGTGCGCAGCGCCGTGGTACTAATGAAAAGGAACATCACGAACGCTCAGACGGAGAAGCCGCCGCAGTGAAGTCGGTGAAGATCAGGCAGGAAAGGGGGAACCGGCGCGTCGGCCCTTCCCCCACCGCGAGGGAAGGCAACCCCTGAATTCTTAAAATAACTCTCGCTTCCTCTTGGCCCAGGCATCTGACCGCTCGCTGCGCGGCAGGCACCGAGGGGCCCGGCTCTGCGGGAGGGTGCGCCCCGGCCTCGGCCGCAGCCCCCGGACGTCACCCTCCCTCCCCAGCGCCGCCCAGGGGGGCAGCGGTCCGTCCGCGGGTTTGGGAAAGGCCGGGGACGAACCCTGCTCGCCGTCTCCAGGGGCCCAGTGGGGCGATCAGATTGCTCCATTCGAGAAGTCCCCTCCGGGACGGCCGCGCGCGCGCGCTCCTCCAGACAGGAGCTCCTCCAGGGGTGCCCGGGGAGGGGGAGGAACCGGAGCAGCGGCCGGGGACAGCGGTAGACCTCCGGGTAGGCGCCGTGCGCCCACCCCGCACCCGCACCTCCCGCCACGCCCCTGCCCGCCCGGCTGCGGACACCTGCGGAGCTCCCGCCCCGCGCCCCCGTGGCTCCCCGGGGCCAGTCACCCCAAGCTAAAGGCTTTGGGGTGCTTCCACCGCTGGCAGGCGGCTCACGATCGCGGCTGCGGCAGTGGCCCAGAATCCCGAGCCAACCCCCACGACCCTGAGCTCCAGCCGAGGGCGGAGACGGGGTCCCCGCCCGGTCCTCCTCGGAGCACGCGCCACCTCCTCCGGCTCACACTCGGCACTCACCCGCTCGCCGTGAAAGTTTCGGGGCGGTGGTGGCGGAACTCCACGGTGACTTGAATTCACAGCTGGAGGCGCGACGGGACAGCCCGGAGGGGCCCTCCTGGGAAGGGAATGCGGATCGGGACGGTGGTGGGGCCGGGGGGTGCGGGCTGGAGGCCGGAGGTGGCGGCTGCCC